GTAGACAGAGTATGTTAACAAAAGGAAGGCTTCTACCAGCTTAGCTGTGGCACCTTCCTCGCTAACACAAGGCTGCGTTAGCTCAAATCCAGCACTACCTCTGCCGGGGGAAGACGCTGCACCACCAACACAATTGTTCATTGCTCCTCATTGTTTCAGACAGCTCAATTGAACAAGCTTAAATTGCTGGTCTGAAGAATATCTTCATGATATTGCTTTAAATACATACTGCAATGCTTCCCCACTGATGGGGTAATAACCAGAGTGAGGCAGTTACAAACATCTGGATTCAGGGGTCCATAACTAAATGAGTAATAGCATTTGTCTGCCAGGGTTTTACAGGCGTTTTTCTTTGTGTCAAACTCCAGACCATGGGGTTGGTTGGCAACACTCTGCAGCGTAGAATTAGCCCAAGATGTGGCAGTAATGAAAGGGACAAACACAGTCCTTAGGAAACAGAAGAATCCTGTACTGAAACAAAACCCCTACATGTCTTGCTCCCATTGTGCTCATTACACATACTTTGGAGCATTATTATTATTACTAAAATAAGTCATTTTAAAATGAACTAGTCATAAATTACCAACCTACTTGCAAGCCTAGGAGAGACTACAAACAGCAAAATTGTCAACTGCTACCTTTTGTAGTATTGCTCAAGAAATTACATTAGTATATATTAGCATACAAGGCCTGAAAATAAATAGTAATAGAGATAGCAAGCCTTATCAAGGAAAATCTTTTCAGCAGACTTATCAGGTCAGGCACTCACTAGCTAAAGGATGAGACAGAGCAGGGAGCCTCTGGGATGATCCAAGCAGCTCTCTCTTGGTAGGAATTCACATTTCCCAGCAGATACAAAGGAGAAAGTTTTCTCTCTGCCTAGTGCTCTAAGGCACCTGTTTTGCCTGGCTTTTCTTTTTTTTTTTTTTTTTTTTTTTTCCCCTCTCTTTTTTAATTTTAATTTTTATAGAGAAGAGATAAAGACAACTGACAGAGCAGACTATAAAATGCTTAAATTCTCCCGCTTGCACTACCTTAACTCACCTCTTTTTAAACCACATGAATTAAGCTCTGAGTGTATACACTGGTTTTAGTGTTTGCTTTCATTTCCTACAAAGTTTACACCAAACTGGATTTGTTGTAAAATGGGTTGTAAACAATAAACTAAGCTGGCATGTGTGTTACCAGATTTACTTAATTTCGGGTTGAACTTCAAAAACTTTCCCATGAAGTTGAACAATGATTAATTTTGGAATGAAAATGAGGAGGAGTGAGGAAAAGAGAGAGGGAGTACACATTTTTGCTATTGTGGATCAGCAGGGCGGCCAGGAACAGCTAAAGGAAGCTGCTATAAACCACGGTACCCCTGGGAACGGCCTCACTTGTGCCAGCCCTACAATCCAGGAAGCACAATGAGCATCGGGGTCCGCTGTGCCCAGCTACACCTGAGCTGCAGCCTCCAAGCTGGGCAGGTCAGAACAGCAGCCTCAGATATAACCTTAAATACAGAGCAGTGACCTCTAGTCTAAACAGTTTTATGCCATTAACTGAAAACAGTTATTCCAGATATGTCAAACCTATTTAAGAGCACCTCAGCAACCCAGATTTACCATGCATTTATGTGCAAAATCTTTGCAGCATTTTCCTGAGAATGTATAACAGTGGGCTATGGCACACTTCCATACCTTGAAGTATGTATAAGTGCTTGGCCATGGTTTGAAATTGAGCTGCCTAGGAGCAATAAGGCCAAGACCTTTCTAGCTTTGCTTTATGCTATTAAAAGCACAAAAGAAATTAAATACAGCACACTGCATCAAGTAGCACAGCTTTGAGTTAAGCCAGCAAAAGCAAGAAAAAACAGGATCAGATACCTGTGTCCTCAGTTTACCTATCTGTCCTAGTGCTACGGTGCATGTTGGACAATAACTGACTCGTTTCAGGCTCTTCTGTTGGACAGGAGAAAGCATAAGGAGAAAGCAGTACTTAATTCCACCCCCTCCCCCATCTTTAATGGTTTAGGACCAAATCTAATGTTATTGTTTTCAATGCTCTATCCTTCTCGGAAATCACACCAAAATAACAGGAATTCAGAGTATTACTGTATGTAAACTATCAGCATTAAGATACCAAGTTTTGTACTTGGTACCCCTCCAGGTGCAGTCCGTATTAACTGCTCACAAACATGACAACGTGATGCATGACAATGTAATTTTTCTAACAGTTTGTTGTCCAATTAACAGAATCAGAAACCAATCTCTACTGTTGAGATAAGCAAGCAAAACACTGCTATTTAGACATTTTTACTGTGTCTGTCATTCTGCTGTCCCAGTGCCTAAAATAGAAGTTAATGTGCAGCCCAGGCCTGCTTAGCACACCCAGGAACGGAGCTCTCTTGGGGCTCCAGCATTTTTATAAAACAGATGTTTAGCAATAGATGTGACTCTGGGAAATTTAACTGCTGAGGAAACCTACATCTCTTTTGCATAAGAATCACAGTGCAACCACCTGGTTTCATTTTAAAGTAGCTAAATCAGTCTCAGATCACTCCGACAGAACCGGACTAGGGAGCGACTCCACGCAGTTACGCTGGCAGGTGAGAAGGGCCAGCAGCCATCAGTGTTTAATGTGACGCGGGAGAGTTCAAGGTAGTCTTTGGTATTTGTACTGTATCCCGTTAAAGTAACACTTACTGTTTTATATGTGCTATTATAATATCTTAAAAACTACTAACTTTTTTATCACTTATGTAACTGAGTAACCAGGAGGACTATCAATGTCCAAGAGCATCAGTTGGCAGTTGTATTCATGTGAAGTCTGCAACGTGTGGACTGCAAATGATAAGGGTGAGCTCTAGAACTGGAGGAGAAACAACTTTACATGAAGACATCTCTTTGGGAGAACTATGAGACAAGGTTTTTATTTTTAAAGCAGATGTGACTATGCCCAAGCTATACAGGCTTTTAAATGTTTTTTTACAAATTAATTTTCTTTAACAAGAAGTGCATAAATAGCGTTCCGCTGCTTGTTGCATGACGAGTAATGAAGAGGTGTCATATGCCTGCTGTGTCAGTCTGTTGCCTAATCTGTGCTACTGCACCCGGTAAGAAAGCAGGTTACAAGCTTCAACTGCTTTGCACACAACTCACAGCTGCATTTGCCTCCTGATACTACAATAGCTGCTTCTAACAAGTACATTCCACTGTAACGGTAACCCTTAAGGCACTGAAACTCTGTTTAAACTGTTCATCTTGAAAACCCAGAATTTCTGTTACAGAAGCCAATTTTTGATTTTGCAAAAGGTAAAAATGCACTCGTTATACTGTTGCTGTTGAATAAAAGGGTTAAATTCCTCTTCAGAATCAGGGTCACAAAATCACTGACTTCCCTGAATAATCTTTTCCCCTGTGCTCTGCAGGGGAGAAACCTGAATAATTTTAGACACACTGGGGGGTTTTCATCATTCTGAACAGCATTGCTGAGCATCCAGTAGTACCATCTCACAACAGAAACTCTGCAATACTCTTGTGCTAATATGAGGTGAACAAGCTTTCTGAAGGAGCGAAGTATCAGATGGCACTGGAGAGTGTGGGGGGGAGAGGCTCCTCTTTCTAAAAGCCAAGCTGTAACTTGCTGTACTTGAAACTGCTACAATTATCTTTTTAGCGACTGTAAGGCAAACTGTTGGTGTTCCGTTTCATTTTAATACTTTCTCTCCCACCACAACCCCTTCAAGTGAGCACGTACAAAGTGTATGACGGACACAGAACTAGATCCCAGTAATTTATTAAAAGTTATTTAAAACCGTTATTCAAAACCAAAACAAAACACTCCCTCTCCGCTAAAAAAAACCAAACAACCCAAACCCAACAGACATTTGCCCTCTTGACAGAGCTTGCCTCTATTAAGAGAGAGAACCACTGGCCCTGCATGCAAATACATCAGACTGCCATAGGCAATCTACAGTGCAGTCCCCAGGGTAAGACACCTTTACCACAAATTCAATAGCTCTGATGAGTCCCTGCTCTCATGGACTATTCAGACAGAAGTACAACTCACATTATACTGAACTTGCAAGACCTGCAACAAACCTTTCCAACTATTCAGAAACTCAAACAATTACAACATAAAAATCAGAAAGCACTTCCAGCATTCTTTTAATACAAGGCTTGCTGTTACACATGAACTATTAATGTGAAGATACCTTGCAGCTGGAAATCTTACTGAGATGCATAAAATGAAAGCAACATTATTTAAATGTAGCTTTACTGCAAATCTGAACACTGGATGCTCACAGCTAATGAGAATTTTTATGCATCCTGTAAACAAAAGTAAAACATGCAAAAGATTCAAAGAAATTAGCTAGCTATGCTGCTATTTAACTCTCCTACAGATCAAGTGCTCCAGTTATCGGCACTTTATCTAAGACTAAATAACTCAATCTTCCAAACTTACAGTCTCATTTTCTGAAACCTACCAGAAGTGTCTCCCAAGTTTGGAACTTCCTTAAAAATATCTGCCATCAAGAGATTATGACTTTGACCAAGAGACACATAAATTTAAAGGCAATACTTCAGCTTATCTAACTGCTAAGCAACATATTAAGAGAAAGCACATAAAAATCACATACCATTCTTTACTCAGAATTAAGTGATAACTCTATAAACCCGGCACTCAAAAAGACAATTCAGACTACATGCAGACATTAAGTTGAAAGCTTCAGCGTATTTTGAAGTTCATATAATTAATGTTTCACAAAGGCAGTGATCAGCTATGAAAAACAACTGAATACACTTTACTCTGTCCATCAATCACTAATGACTATGCCTCCAACATGCAGACAAAATAGCAAACTTCAATATACAACATTCCCTATGCTTGTTCAATCTGCTGTATGCAATTTTAACTAACAGTCACCATTCGTGAACACCAAGTTTCCCATTTGTTAGCCTGAGCACATTAATCTCCTACCACCGTCCACAATTTAAGAAGCCGTTACATACCTGCAGTTAGGAGGAGGATCAAGGGTTATTTCAGCTAGCTCCTTCTGGATTCTGTTGGTGAAATGAGAACAGACACAAAGCATTTGAGATAGTCTATAGAATAAATCAGGGAATTACACTGCCCTCTACCACCAGGCAGTTAAATGCAAGATTGGCTTTGCCTTCAGTAATGCTAACATGGCTGCTTCCTCTTTGTTCTCAGAGGCATAACCCAAATCCCACAGCTGAGAAACTTTGCAGCTTTCTTCCTGCTCTGCTCTGTATGTAAACACAACGCTCACAACTGAGTTGGGTAGAAATTTCCCACAAGTATTCAGAAAAGTAGCTCTTTTTCACATCTGAGCACTTTTTGCCAGAGAGATTTTCTTTTCAAGCTAATATGCAAATGAGGGAAGGGGGGGGGGGCTGTACAGGCAGATTTGACAATGACTTTAAACCAGCGCTACAGACCTGTGACCGAGGCTGAAGAAGTGAAACGTGCTGGCAGCAGACACATTCTTTTCACAATATTTTACCTACTACTTTGCAGTGTGTTTAAAAAGTGGATTTGCAGATCTGCCAGGCTGTCTCTGTTACTGGAATAATCTCTCTGGATCAACTTTGCTTCTCTCCACACCTTCTGCTGCCTTTCCTCCCCCAACCTTATACAGTAGCTGTATTTACATTATAAAAAGTGATGTAGCTCGAAATCATCTATGCTTAGCTTTACTCTATTACAACCATTCCCAACGTGTTAAGATCCAGAAGAGGAATACTGAAAACTTTTCGTCAATTTAATAGTTCACTCATACACAAGAGGCATAATTTCAAAAGATGCATGGTACATTCCTCTTAAAAATAGCAAATAAGACTTCTCTTCAGAAGAAGATCCATACGAGCAAGACCATGAATTTCATGTGAATAGCAAGTGTTAAAACATGAGCTAACAGAAACTCCTCAGCACATCGTTACACTAATATCAATAAATTCAGTGAAACTACCCAACTATTTGAGATGCACAGAATCAGACTTGCAACAATTAAGTGAAGTATGGGCAAGAGGGGAAAACTCAGCCTCGAAAGCCTGAACCTCTGCCTTTTCAAAAAAGACAAGTAGTAACAAATTACAAAGCCTACACAGTAGTTCCAGAACTTTTCTTTCTTTAGCCAGTTCTATTTCAAAGGGTTTCTTTAACAAGCTCAAAAGTCATCAAAGCCCCCCAGTCTTACTCTGCAGCAATTGTAACATATTTCAAAAAGTATTTACTGAATTTAAGTCCAATACAAAATTACTAAACTATTACTAAAAGTTAGAACTCCAGTATTCATGCTGAATATGCAAAACTTGAAGCTACCACGGCTACTCTACAGCTTTCCTTGATACAGGATATTTGTAGATGTTTGTAAAGAAAAGCAACTCCAGGGAAAGGACCGGAAAGTTATGTTTCATCTCTGAAGACCACTGGAATCAAGGGATTTAAAGTTCGCTTATTTCGCACAGCGGAACCTACTGAAAAGTACCAGAGTGCACGTCTGGAGACCTAGACTGCCAGAAACCTTACATGCAAATAAAAGTTTAACGGCTATAACTAAACAAGGTTTCTGATGATTTTGATATTTAAAGGTAGAGGCTACTACCTGTAAAACCCCATGGCTTGAATCTACAGATCCTAAGGGAGAAAACTCACCTAAGTTTCTCCTGAAAGAACTGCAGAATGAACCCATTACTTTAAGGTGTGCAAGGCTCTCCCACACACTGACGTGAAAAGCTCGTCATAAGGCCCAGAGAAGCCACTGGGGCTTTGTGACTTTAATTAAAGAGCATTGCTTGTCATCAATCTACCAACCATAATAAAATACACCAGGAGGACTCCACCTTATACCAATCAGGCATGGAAACCTAAAGATACCCGAAGCTGACATTCTCCTGCACATTTTTGCAAACGCAAAATGTATTTAGGCGTGCCTCCCCCCGCCAACCTGTAAGCTACCTGTACGTTCTCAAACAACTCTTCAAAAGAAGTATGACAAGTCTGTGTAATCATTAGCCCAATAAGTCTTCGATTAATGAAGATACTGTCAGGTAGGCTACTGTACTACAAAAGTTGGTACTTCACTCTCTTCCACGTAGCTTTACAAGAAGAACCCCTCTGCCATGAAAAGTGCAATGCAAATACTGTGACTCAGAATACTGTGCTACGGCATGTTTCACTGTCACCTTTACCTTTTAGCACTAGTAGATAGCTTAGCAGTAGTTTTGCTGGAGAGTTTGGTGTTCTTCTTCTGCTGCGTGGCAGAGGGTTTTCTTTCCTCTTGCTCTTCGGGTTCAGGTGCAGGTGGATCCCTCTGATCGGCATCTGAACTACCGCTGCTGGTACTTGGACTTTCATCGTCTGACCTCTGCCTATCACTGGACATCGTGGGGATCTTTTTTGGGGAAAGGAGAAGGAAAGAGGCAGAGTCAATAAAACAGGTGGGACTCTGTCTTGCCATTCCCCGAGTTCCTGAGAACACCTGAATTGGTGAGGAGTCCGTTTCACTGAGAAATTAGCCAAAATATACTTATTTGTCTTGGTCCCAAGGGTTGCAGTTTGACAGCTAGAAAGCAATACTTACACTTCTGAAAATACAGATATTTCCAATTTTTAAACCCACACGCATTTTTTTCATACTTTAAACAATACGCCAATTGTCGACTTTGTTCTAAGGCACGAGGCAGATTTAGCAGGGTACTTAGGCACTGAACATTAATAACTAATGACACATTGTAAATAACAGACCTCACTGAAAATGTTTTTTAAAAAGTCACTAATACCCTGTAAATATTTACACTGGAGCAGATCATTTTATTGGGTCCAAACGCCAGATCCCCCCTCTCCGAGAAAACACGTTGCCAATAACACTTGGGTTGATTTCAGATGGAAATGTACACTTGCTCTGTGCATTTAAAGGGCTGGGCTGGGGAAAGGCGGGGTGGGGGGGAAGAACGAGAACGAGGGGGTTTTTTTGTTGTTGTTTTTTTCCTAAAAGGGAGAAACCCCAAGCTGCATTTAAAGCAACTCTGGCAGCAGCAGCCCCGGTTATTTACATGGCCAGCAGCGAGAACTGCATTTGGCCACCACAGAGCTGCCGGAGGGGGAAGAA